GGGTTACTTTTTTAGATATTTTACACAAAAACTTGTGAAGGAGAATTGAACACTACAAGGAAAAAACAAGAATCAACAAAATCTTTAGGTAAACCAAAACTAGTATGTATTTGTTGCTAAATGGTGGTGAAAGATTTTCATCTTGGATATCATATATATTTATAAACCTTTTGAAAAGGCAGTTTTCTACCGAAATTTGTACCAAACCAGAAGTAATATTGATAATCTTCATAGTTAGAGCTGTCAAACGGGCTGATCCACTCCGCATTATCCGGCGGCTTAGCGGCTAGCCCGTGGATAAAAATATTCATATGTCAAAAATTCTATCTAAATCATAGTTTCATCATTTACACATCATGTCTTCTTATAACTTAAGAGCCATAAGTCATAACTTATCAAATCTGTTAGCAATTTCAGAAATAAAAGCATAAGAACTCAAAAGAGTAATTTCTCATATTCATTCTAAACTTCTAACAAAAGTTCAAACAGAGAAAAAGCAAGGGTCAAAAAGATTCAAAAATCGAAAAGTTTTAAATTAAAGAGAGTAGAGAGGAGTGTAAAAAATACTCCAAATTTTAGATAATAGCAATTGTTGTGAGTTTGATATTTTCTATAAGTATCAAACTTATCTTTGGTATTTACAATTTAAGAAGAAAAAATATCAAAAAACAAATGAAACTGGATTTGTTATTGAAAGTAACAAACAATCATTGTAGAGTTTGATTTCAAGCTCTTAACTTGAATTAGGAAAACATAAATCAATAACTTAACATGACGAGTTTCCAGTTTTGGTTGAATGTAGCTCGGTTCTATGTTAATTATGTCTCTAAATTTGTGATTATGTCGGGACTCTTGAATTTTTTTTGTGAGTGGCTTTTGAGTTTACTTGGAACAAACACAATAATAAAGAAATTAGAGTTTCATAGAAATTTAGTACTTTGAAACCTTTTATTTCAAACAAAAGGTTCACACAGTGCCGTGCCCAACCTTTTCAGGGTTCGAGGTAACAAAAGCAAAATTATGACATTCAATAATACGCTTAGCTATAAATTCAAAAATTATATTGTATAAAATTTTTTTTTTTATAAAATAGTGTTCAATATAGCTAATAAAATTATACTCAATATTGTTTTATTGCAAGCGGTTTGTTATATCATCATATAATAAATATTCATATTATAACACTATTTATTAAATCTCATGTGTATTTTCTTTGTTTTTGTTACTTTGTATAGATTGAATGTGTTGTAAACTTAGAACTTAAAACTAGATGAACTAAGAAAACTATGTTTTAAAACAATTTGAATAAAAAGATAAAGTAACGGGAAAACTATAAAAGAAAAGGTAGAAAACAAAGTTGGAGCTATAACTTATAAATGATAATTATGAAAGCCCATTAAAAATATAACGATAAAACGGATAAGTCCTCAATTTTGGAGAAACTTATTATCATGAAATAGATTAAGCTTAAATAAGAAGTTAAATAAAGTTTTTCTACCTATTAAAATAAATAAAAACTAAAACATGGGGCCCTAAATATATGGTTTGAAATGTGAGGCCCTAGGCGACCGCCTTATTTTTTATACTGTAGGCACGGGTTTGGGTTCACAAATCAAATTTTAGTTTAGTGTTTGATAGATTATCCGTAAATCCGCAACGGATAAATCCGTTCAGTCCGCAAGCCATAATGGCTCAGTCCGCGAGATCCGCTTCTAAACAGGCTTAGAAATTTATGTTCAAGTCTGCTTCGTGATGAGCCTGGCCTGCAGATCGCGGACCTGATTGACAGATCTATTCATAGTCTTGGATTATATTGTCATCAATTATAATTATATAGTTTCAGAGCATGCGCAATAGGTATCTAAACAATAAAAATAATTTTTTTTTGTTTCTAAAAAGTCGGAGAGCGAGATGGAGTTCTCGAACTAGAGACTCATAAGAATTTCACATGCCATATGTGTGCTTATAAATAGTTATTTTTTAAAAATATTAAAATTTAATTGAATAACTGAATTATATTAAGATTATATAGACTAGAAGAAACCCATGTGAAAGACTCTGCTCTTACAAGTTTTACAAATTTTTTAGAAAATATTTTCAAACCCAAATCTGTATCATAGTGATCTGTACCAAACTAGCGATTATATGTACTTTAGCATTGGATGATTAGTGTGATATTCATTATCTTCGATTCCATCACCATTAATTACATATTTTCTTTTAGTTGAATGTAAAATTCATTCAAACCAAAAAACGTTTATACAATATATATGGCTTTGTTTTTGAGCCAAAAACAAAATCGTGTTGTTTTCTAAACTTAACAAAGAGTTCTTGAAAAGAGTTATTAGCCTAACGATGTGTACTGATGTTGCTGGTGTGTTTTTCATAGAAACTAGAGATAGGCAGCATATTATGTTTTTTTYTWAAATGTGACACCATCTCSACTAGTACATATTATGTTATTAGTTTTGCTACATCGACTAACAAACGATGAAGTTTGACACTAAACCAAAGACTACGAAACGAACATCACTTTATTATTAGCATAAAAACAACATATTATAAACATTGCAAAAGAAAATCATCTATACTAGATTCCAACTCATAAATAACTAACCAACCATAATTTTTTTTATATATAGAACAAACATCAATGAACCATTAAATCTAAAAGAATTCTTATTAGTCATGTTTCAAACCATTATATATGGATTCATCCCAATAAAAACACATTAAAAGAATGAAAAGATTATTAACCTTTTCTTTGATATGTATCCTCTTCTTCTTTTTTTTTGTTTACCTCAAACTTCTTTGAAGATGTAATCCTTTCTACCTTGCCATGGTATTTTGAAAACTTTATCACAAGTATACTAAGCAACTAGATTATATAAGAGTTGGAGATAGGGTTTTTGTGTGCCCATGTTAAAATGACTAAAAGACCATTAGGCTCCTTAGAATATATCTAGAAATTTAAGATCAAATTTCACTCTTCCAGTTATTTTCTACTATCAACCTCCAATTAACTTGACTTGCTTATTAGGAAGATTTGATTCTAGATAAGTTTCCCATATTTTTCTCTTGAAAATATTAAGCAAATCTTTAATTGTTCAACATTCCAAAGTTGTGTATAGAAAATCTTTTTTCGTAAATGAAATATGAGACTTTTGTCTAACCACCTTTTGTGAGGATTTTTTATTTAACCCAATAACCCATATTTCTCATTCAAATAATCAAATCCATTCAATTTTGACACAACAATAGTGTCCATTTTTTAGCCGGCAAAAAAATAGTTTCTTCTTATTCAAATTTTCCTATAGGAATCGTAGTGCGAACGAATGTGCAGATCGGTTAGCGAAGAGTTCTATAGTTTTTCATCTCTCATGGAGTCTCTTTTCTTGTTGTCCATCTTTTCTTCAAACATTTGTAAACAAAGATACTGATTGATGATATAAATGATGATTTTAGCCGGTAAAAGGAAAAAAAAGTCCATTTTTAGGCCAATTTTGTTAAGAAAATTGTTCTAACGGATGTTTGGTTTAGAAAGGGAACATCAATATTTTATATGAAATCAAAATCATTACTTAGTCATAAGAAATATATCTATTTGACAATATACACAAATGCTAAATTTTCTAATAACAATATTGAAATATGTTCTAATCGATTTCATAATCTCCAAGATTTCTTAATACATTCTTACGTGTAAAATTTTCTCTTTGTAACTAGAATTAACAATCTAGTTGATTGTTGGATTTCCAGAAGAGACATACTCAAAATCATCAAAGATCTTTTGAAGAACTTGTAAAACTTATGAAACTTTTTTACCTTTTATATTAATATTTCTTGTGCTCGAATTTCGATTGATCTAGATGGTGATGTTCAGAGACAATCATATTAAATCTCATCGGTATTGGCAAAAAATTTGAGAAAAAATTTGAAAATTTTGAGATTATCATATAAAATAGAAATTAACCATATAAATTTGAAGAAAAAAAAAGATTACAATACTTTAAATAATATCTTTCTACTGCAACAATAAAAATATCATTTTGATAGTTATCTTTGTTTTTTGAATTATATGTTWAAGTAATTCAAGGAAAACGTTTGTTATATCATATGTTTCTGTTTTTTAGTGTCAAACGAAAAGAGGTGTACACTTTCTCATAATCAGATC